CCCAGTATCACACACCTAAACCATGTTCACACACCCTAGATCCAGCCACCTCCCAAAAGTTCCACCTATGACACATGAGGCTTTGCGGTGACATTAGTTATAAACCATAACAACCTCACAACTTAAATACAGTTGGAGTTCTCAGCTTTCTGCAGTGAGATAAAAATTTGCAGGACTTTTAGTGTCTCTAGTGCAATCACCCAAAGAGAAGAGGAGATTGCGATTCTTTTATAAAAATTAACAGGCAGACCTGTTGTGGGATTTGTGTGTGACTCAGAGGCAGCCGCACCTCTGCAAGGGGTCCTAGGGCTGTGCTCGAGGGTAGGGTTCGAGGGTAGGATTTGAGTTTCCAGACCACACTGCTCCAGGTCGGTTGCAGCACCTCAAAAGATAGCAGTGGAGCCTTCCAAACTCCATTCTGGGAAATGCAGGAATGATGAAGTAACTCACAGTCATAGTGACTAATTGGTTTCTCTTCATAGCCAGGAAAAAGGTTCACTGATACATGAATGAAATGCTAAATTTCAGGAACTGGACTCTAAAGGAAAAATTAGCTGTCACCTGTGACCCTAAGTGATAAAATAAACTGGCCACTACTGCATATAGAGGGGTTTGGCCAATCACATTTCTGCTACTGTAAGTGATGATTTGGGCTCTGTGGAGGTCCACGTTGGGCTGTTTTTTCCTGATGGGAGACGCAGGACTTGTTGTCGAGGCCTTCTCCAGGGTCTGGACATTGACAGTAGTGATGAATCTGTGGCAAGTGTGCCACTGCTAGATGTTTGTTATCATTGAAAGCTCTAGAAGGTTCGCCATCACTAGTGTAGAAGAGCATACTTGTTTTCCTGTTTTGTTTGGTATCAAGTCATTATATCACCTGAGAGTGGTTTCAATTAAGAAACAGGTTAAAAAGTAAAACCCACATCTTTATCCATTCATTGGTTGATGCCATTTGGGCAAGGGGGTGCTACTCAACCAAAGAGAAGGGTAAATCTGAGACATTTCTAGGTAAATGGGTGTAACGTGAGAGAGACTCTACTCTTAAGTGAAATCAAGCAGACATAACTGTAAATATTGCATTGTTTCTCTGGTGTGAAAAGCTGAAAGTATAAATAGGGATTGAAATGTATAATAGAAACTGTGAAATAGGAAGAGAATGTTCAAATGGGAAGAGTGTCACTAGGGAGGGTGGAGGGGAAAGAGAGGAAGGGAAAAGAAGGGAAAAAGAGAAACAAAGCTTTTGTAAATAAGCAGGGGAAGTGGGGTTGAAGGGAGGGTGGATAGGGGAATGGGGAAAAAATAAAGATATATCATGTACAGGAACAAGCTCCCTATGATGAATGTGATCATTATGTATATATAAGTTGTACTAATAAACTTAATTAAAAATAATTTAAAAAAATAAAGTGCTGTTTGCCATTGAACAACAGCAAAAAAAAAAAACAAAACAAAAAAAAAAAGCAGCTGGTTAAGAAGAACCAGAGCACTTCCTCAGTTTTCTCATCTCTGCAGTGGGAGTGTTAGTAGTGTCTGCCTCATAGAGTTGCCATGAAGGTTAAATGTGTGAAAGTAGTACTTACTGTATCTTACTACTGTTTTTACTGCTGTTTCTCAGATTTAATTTTTTTTTATTTTTAGAATTTTTTTTAACAAAAAGAAGTCCTGTTTATTGATCCTCCGCCCAAGAGCCCCCCGACTCCCGCCAAAACCTACGAAGCTAGGGGGTGGCAGGGACCATGAAGGGTTGGTTGAAATGTGTTGTGTATCAGCACAAATGGCCTGGATGAAACCCATGGGCTATGTAACCAACTCGTGCTAATAAAACGTGCGGCAAAAGGCCAGTGGTGCTGATCCTAACTCCGTAAAGATAATGAAGAGCGGATATCCCGAGGATCCGGGCACTCAAGCGTCTCCTGGGTGTGTCAGGTCGCTCACACTGAGATTTGTGCTCTGTCCACGGTTCATAAACTCGAGAGCGTTCAGCCTCCTTGAAGTCTAGACTGAGGCTTTCGGGTTCCCTAATCTCAGTCCTCAATCTGATCTCATTACTGAGTTTATGGCAGTGAGGTGAAAGCCATTTTAATTAAGCTGTAATTTGATAAGATCCAAGTCACCCTCTCATCCTCACTTTCATGCGCTCCCAGACTGTCTCCCCTCAAGCCAAGGACGGCGAGTGCTGAAGAGCTGAACCTGACTCTGCCAAGCAGAGGCCTCACGAATCAAGCCAGCTTTGAAAATGGATCCTTGCAGGTGTGGTGGCACACACCTGTGATCCCATCAGGAGGAGACTGAGGCAAGAGGATTGCTATGAGTTTGAGGCCAGCCTGCTGTATTTATTTTAGTGAGTTCGAAGTTAGCCTGCACTACATAGCGGGACCTTGTTTCAGAAAAACAAAAAGTAAAAAAAGGGGAGATCCTTCCCCTTTAACAGCTTTAAAACATACAAAAAAGTTTCAGATAAAAAGGACAGAGCCAGGCCTGGTGGTGTATGTCTGTGACCTCAGCACTTGGGAGACTGGAGGGAGGAGGGTCCTCACGAGTTGAAGGCCAGCTTGGACTACATTTTTGAGTCCCTGTGTCAAGCAAAAATGAAAGTAAAATAAAATAAATTTTAAAATAAAGAGGACAGGAGATAAATGAAAGGGGACTAGATAGTGTGATTTTAGAAGAGCTAAAAGAAAAATGTGAGTTGAACTTTTTGTGCATGTGCTGAAGATCAAACTCAGGGACTGGCACACGCTAATTAAGTGCCGGATCACCAAGCCACATTTCCAGCCCAGTCTGAACTTAGTGAAAAATAAAGGCAGAAAATATTTTTTAAGAAAGGCAAGAAAAATGTACCACAAGAATTCAAAAATAAAACGGTACAAGGTGAAACCGGGTTGAAACAGCAGAGCTGCAAAGTTTCAGAAGTTTAAAGAGCAAAGTGAAGATATGTTTCCTCCATGAGGATAAAAAACAAACATGGTGAGGTATGCCCTGCGAGTCTGAGGCAGGAGGAGGACTGCGAGTTTGCACTAAATTCCCAGCCTGGGCAATTTAGTGACTTAGTGAGACTCTGTCTCAAGATTTAGAAAACGGAAAGGCCGGGTATGGAGCTCAGTACAGGGTTCAGTCTCCTGGGTTCAGTCTCCAGTACTAAAATCAAGCAGTCAGTGAATCAGTCCATCATAATCCTTAGCAGGACCTCCAAATCAGACCATCTTCCCAGGGTGGGCTCTCCCATAGGTGCCAGTTAATGATGAATTCTTCAGGGCCGGATCCCAAGGGCACTGACCTCACCCCCCATCCCTGTCCTTCCACCCAGCAGCCTAAGCAGGTAGTGTTGCTGTCTCAATACTTTGGGGAGGGAACCACAGTAAGGGTAGTGCCTGCCTCCACCAGCAGATGGAGGAGCTGGGCTGGGAGCCCAGGCCGGTACAAACCCTTACTCTGCTAGTTTTGCAGTCCAGGGCCTTGTGCATGCTAGGCAAGTGCTCTGCCACTGAACCTCACTCTCACCCTTTTATTTATGTATTTTTATTCTTCTTTTGAGATAGTATCTATCAAAAAAAAAAAAAAAAAAAAAAACAGGTGGCATGGAGGCATAGCCCAAAATGGCCTCAAAATTGTAATGATCCTCCTGCCTCAGCTTCCTGAGTGTTGGGATTACAGGTGTGTGCCACCATGCCCAGCTTAATTTTTTACTTTTCTTTTTGAGCCAGTCACTAAACTCCAGGCTGCCTCAAACTTGTGATCCTCCTGCCTCAGCCTCCTTGGTAGCTGGGATTCCCGGTATGTGCTACCATGCCTGGCTCAGTGCCCTTGATCCTTTTTTGCCTTCCAAGAAACATGTTTATGGCATCAGCAATGAAGATGATAACAGTACCCCTTGTCCTGTTAACCTCCTTCATCACCTTGCCTAGATTACCTGTCTACCAGGAAAGACCACTGTTCTGAGCTAATGTGCAGTCAGCAGTACTTTCATATCCTGTAACCCACTGGACTGTTCCATTTTTGGGTATCCCTTTTTTGGTGCAAAGTTGGTCTCAAGTTATCTAAATGTTTACCTCAGTCCCAGCTCCTAAATATGTCGTCAAAGTGACTACTTTTCTCTGCCGAGTTGAGGCCACATCTGGTCATTTAGTATGTTTCCTGTGACTGCAGCAAATGACCATGTACTTGGCTAGAAACCATAGAGATGCATCCCTTGAAGTTCCGGGTGCCAGACATTCCGTGGCTTGTGGCCACATCACTTAGGGGCTATGGGACAATCAAAGTCATTTTTCTACCTTGAGATCCTCACAGTTGCAGTGACCTCTTTCTTCCATGTGAGGTAACCTGGGCAGGCCTCAAGGGTTAAGCAGTGGCATCTTTGGGAGCCATTTCTGGCCTGTGACACCCCTAGACGTGTGACCATCTCTGCCTCCTTTGTGCTCATAGGTCCTGGTTGGCCTCAGAGCCCCTCAGTGGCTCTGTCCCCATTCCTGGATGCACCTGTGGTTACCTCTCCGGCTTCTTTCCATTTCCCTTCCTTGCTCATAGTCTCCTCTTGTTCCTAGGAGGAGCTGGATTTGCTCTCCCTGGCCCCAGGGCCCCTTGCCTGGGACACTTGCCCCTCTGTGTTTAGTTTACCTTTCCCTTCTTCCGTGGGCTTTGGCCTATGCCTCCACAAAAGCAGGTTCTCCCCAGGTGGGTCTGAGCCCCCAGCGGGCTCCTTGGCATTACCACCTAATTCACAGATGTGTCCCCTGCACCTGGCACCATGCCAGTCACCTAATGAGGTGCCTAATAAATGTCTGTGGATGGGAAAACTCATAGGACAGAGCCTTGATGTCTTCTTTTCCAAGAAAAATGCTACTCCAAAGAGCGCCCACCCATCTAGAAAGGTCTTTGAGGGGGAGATGGTGTGTGTGAATTCTGAAGTTCCCCCAGATCTTTATGTCTTTAAGCAGAAGCCAACAGCCGGGTAACCATGAAATTGGAGAAAATATTTTCATGCATATTCTATTTTCTTTCAGGCCGTGCCTGTGTTTTTCATTCTGCACAATGTAGCTGAAGTTATCATCTGCGGGTACCAGAAGTGTTTTTGGAAAGAGGTAAATGATCTCAAAGTGCTAGTTTCACTTCTCTAGCTTTAAATTTCAGAGAATCACTTTCCTTTCGATGTCCCAGTGAGTGTCTGTTCTGCCACCAATTTCTAGCCGAGACTGCCTGACAGTGGACACCGATTTCAGGGAACCTTGGTTTGACCTTGCTCAGTGACCAGACATGTGTGGAAACTCTTGATATGGGGAACACAGCTCCACGACTCCAGGCTGGGCTGGGCTACACCTGGGAGGCGGAGGATTTTGCTGCAGGCCGGGTGGGCATCAGGCCCCCCACTTCTGTCGTAGGCTGGCTGCTGGCTGGCTTGAGAGGAGTGGGGTCATCATGGTCTTCTTTGTTTTTTTCTTTCTTTCTCTCATCTTTTTGAGACAGGGCTTCCCTACATAGTTCAGGCTGGCCTTGAACTCACTGTGTAGCCCAGGCTGACCTTGAACTCACACTGATCCTCCTGTCTCAGCCTCTCAAGTGCTAGGATTACAGGTGTGGAACACCACACGTGGTATTTTAATCCCCTGGAAGGCACCGCACTTCTGCACACACGTGTTTTTGTGCAAGAATGTGGATGTTTTTACACACTCAGCAGATGCATCTTGGCTCCCTTTGATGGTTGTCTGGATTCCTTATTCCTGCCCTTATTCTGCACTGGATGGAGTATGTGTGTGGGGCATTTGCTACCCCCAGACTTGGAAGTGGTTTCTAGCAGTTTGGCATTCAGCTCTGCTCCATTGCTGGGGTCTGTGCCTTGTTTTCAGTGTTAAGTTTCTTTAGTCCCCGTCACAGACCGTGATGACCCCACTGCTCTCGAGTTGGCACACACACAGCACCTCTTACTTCTTTAGCTGCCTTCTGCCCTTTCCCTTCCTGCCCTCCTCCTCCCTCTCTTGGTCCCCTTCCCTTGCAAAGGATCCCTCTCCCTGTTTCTCATGACCTCCCTTTCATTTTGCTCTTTATTTGTGTAATTTCGGGTTTCTTGAGTGGAAAGCCTGTGTACTACCTGAGCTCCCAGGGTGCCCTTATCTCATTATGGTTAGAGACGCAGCTTGAGTCCCTCATGGGCTTCTATCTGGTGTAATATAAATTCCAGTCCCCCTCCCCAGAACCTCGACCCATCAATTGCATTGATTCCATCCCATGAGGTGCACAGTTGCTCCCCGCTGTGTGCCTTATCCAACTTTACCAGGAGGTTGTGCTCTCCGTTATGTGTAGATTTTACCACACATAATAAATTGGTTAGAGTAAAGTTGACCTCCTCAGAACCTTGCTCTCAGATAATGAAAATAGTTCAGTCTGAAGCTTGTAGTCTGGTTTCAGTACCTGCAGCTGGTTCCTCGTGTATGTGTGCACACATACACGCACACACACATGCATGCATGAACACACATATGCATGCACACACATGTGCATGCACAGCTCAACCCAGAGGTAGTGTGCAGCCCGTGGAATTCATTGTCCTGCCTTGTAGATGTGGAGGACGGCTGTCCACTGATCCACTACTTGTCATTGATTGTGTGTATCCTGAGGGGAAGCTGTGGAGATAGAGAAGACATTTATGACCCTTACAGAACTGAGGAGTTGAGTGCAGGAGCTGACCTGTAATCCTGGGGTGTGACTCGGAGGATGTCATACGGGCTGGAGTGGGGTGTGGGTGGGCCAGGGGGTGACCACCAGAAGGCTGCTTGGACAGAGTGCCCCCAGGGGCTAGATTTGAGCTGATCCACCCAGGATGGGGAAGGATTTTTAAACAGTTTTTTTGGTTTTTTGAGACAGGGTGCCATTATGTATCCCATACTGAGCTTAAACCCACAGCAGTCCTGCCTCAACCTCCCAAATGCTGGGATTGCAGATGTGTGCCACCACGCTTGAGGGGAAGTGCTTGCTAGGCAGGCAGAGTCCAACTGGGGCCAGTGGTGGGCCCTGCAGGACTAGTGGGAAGGTGGTGGTGGAATAGGGTCAGGTTCTGCAATAGAACTCCTGGGCCCGAACCCTGTGACCTTAGCTGCTTCCCTAATTTCTCAGTGCGCTGAGTGCCCTTACCTGTAACAGATAACCTATGGCTGGCAATCATCCCATAATTAGTTTTGTGTTTGAGACAGTGTCTCATTATGCAGTTCCTATTTGCCTTGAATTCCTTATGTAGCCTAACCCTCCACAATCTTCCTGCCTCAGCCTCCCATATGTGCCTCCATCGCTAGCAATCATCTCATAATTAAATGACTCAACACAGGCAGATACTGTTGAACTGTGCCTAGCACAGAGTAGCCCTCAGAGTAATTTAGCTAACCCAGAGTGACATTAGCCACTTACTATTATTTTTGACAGTTTGACTTTTGAGGAGTTCTGAGTCCCCAGATCTCACTGGGACTCTTTGTCGGGTTATTTCAGGACCGAGGGCTCCAGAAGGTGAACACCCTTGTTAACTTCTCAGTTGTTTTCCAAGCCTCCAAAGAATGGAGTTAAATAACAAACACATGGCTTGTTTTTATTCTCTGCATCTTGGGGTCTGGGCCCTTTTAGTCCAGAGGGCCCAGAAAATAAAGTAAAAAAGAATCTACGGGCACGGAGATCCTAGCTGGCTGTGTTGCTGTGGTGCAGGTCCTATGGCAAGTGGAAGCAGGTGGACTGTATTCCCACTCTTCCTCCGGCTCCTCGGGATTTCCTTTGTACTTGGCCCAGAATGTGCTAGCCACACGTTTTACCATAATGGGTAATTATGCAGTCATGGGAGCTGGCACCTTTGCCCTGCTTTGTTTCTCTCTCTCTTTCTCTTCTTCTCTCCCTCTCTCTTCTTCCCTCCCCCTCTCCTTCTCCCTCCCCCCCTCTCTCTGTCTTCCTCTCTCCCTCTCTTCCTTTCTCTCTCTCTCTTCCTTCCTCTCTCTCTCTCTCTCTCTCTCTCTCTCTCCCTCTCTTCATCCAGAGCTTAACTCTTCTCACTGAGGGGCAGCTGAGCCACAGTTGCCTTGATCAGAGATGAAAGATGGGAAACCACAGGCCATCCTTTAATGCACAAATAGAATCTATTAGGATAGCAACAACCTGGTTATTGGTTGAGTAGCCCATGAAAGCCTCTGTTAGTTTTCATAGTAAACCACGTATGTTTCCCTTGTCAGCTCTGCACTTCTACACAGTATGTTTCTGTCACTCCTCATCTGAACTGGTGTCCAAAATTGGTGTTTGTCACCAGTGAGCAAAATAATCTCTGAAATAACCAGAGTGAATCTGTCATCCTACCCGTGTATCTGCTTCATCAAATGTAGAAAAATCTATGCCAAATCCCCGGTAGAACTTACTTCCTCTCTACGAAGGATTAGTTCCCTTAGCCTGGATAATTAACAGGCATTTGTAAGTCTAGGACCTAAAGTTTTAAATATCAAGTTTCTATCCCTCCAATCTGCTGTTTTTCTTTTCTAGGACCAGAGTAAAATGTCCTCTTTTTTCTGTTACTGTTTATGCCATGTCAGATAACTCACAGTTAGAATTGGATTAATAAAAGGAATATTTCAAAGTACAGGTCTGTGGCCAGCCACGATGATACTTGTCTATATAGTCTCAGCTACTTGGAAGGCTGAAGCAAGAGGATCACTTGAATCCAGGAGTCTGAAATCAGTCTGGGCAAGATAATGAGGCCCTGTCTCAAAAATAGATAAATGAGGGCCGGGCATGGTGTCACATGCCTGTAATTCAAGCACTCGGGAGACTGAGGCAGGTGGATTGCTGTGAGTTTGAGGCCAGCCTAAGCTGCAAAGTAAGTTTAAAGCCGGCCTTTGCAGAATTACAGAGCAAGACCTTGTCTTAAAAAAAAAAAAGTGAATAAATAACTGAAAAGGAAGAAACAGAGGTAGAGCCCAGCTTCTTTTCCTGTGCTACAGGTTACAGGTCGCTTTCTCTTTTACCGCTTGCTGTATGAGACTTTGGAAGCTTGGCCGATATCATTTTGTTTTTCATGAGTCAACGTCTTTCTAATGGCGAAAATGCTCTATGAGGTGACTCAGCTCTGAACTGACTCACCCTGCACTTGGTCCAAGCAGAAAAAGCTTCAGCAAATACTACAGTGCTGCAGACTCTTACATACCTTAATGAATTTGTGTGTGATTTATTTGCCTCTTAACCTAAACGTTTTCTTTCAAGGGGGGAAAAACCGTTTTGGAAGACTAATTATATGTGGTTTTTTTCATACAGAAAATACCTTCTGCAAAGATCTGCAGGTAAGTTTTTTTTTTTTTTTTAAGTAACCTTTTGAAATACAAGATTTAGCTTGATTTTAATTTGGGTGGTAGCTATTGAAAATACCCACTCTGGAAGCTTCATGGAATTTGTTATAAACAGTCACATATGCAGTTTTGTGTTTTATTTTAAAATTACTCTTTTTAGAGGAATAAAAGTGAGAAAAAAATTTATTTTTTCTGCAATATCTTACTCATAAAGGGAAAACAAATAAAAATCTACCTGTGCTAGATTTCAGCTATTGATGTTCCAAAACTTCCATAAGAGTTGCACAACACTGATGAAGACTACAAATGAAAAACATGGAAACAACTTAAAAAAAAAAAAAAGCTGAAACAGTTTTGGCAGTGTCTCAAAGCTCTGAGATGCTCCATGGTGGAAAATACACAAGCCGTGAGTCCCAGGATCTGAACTGCCATCCTAGGACGCAGCACTGCTCGTGGGTGGGTTTTTTGGTTGTTGTTTTGAGATGGGGTCTCACTGTGCAGTCCAGGCTGGCCTTGAACCCCCAGCAGTCCTTCTGCCTCAGCCTCCTGAGTGCTAGGATGGTCGGTAGCAGCCTGATACTGCATGTGTCACTGCAGTTGTGAAATGGGAAGGGAAGAAACCAGAGGTATTTTGGGTTTCGTGCCTCCTGGTGTCTCTGTTGAGAAGTAGAGAATGACAGGGGAAGCTAGAGTCAGATCTTGTCCTGTACAAAACACAGAGGAGTCCTTTTGAAAACCAGTGCTACTGAGCCTACTCCAAAGGGGCTTTGTAATGGCTGAGCACAGCTTTCTAAAGATTTGTGATTGGCAACATGTTTTTCTTATTTGCGCAAGAATTTTTTTTTAAAAACATGTGCTGTGTAAATTACCCTACATGTAGAAGTAGATAGAATAAATACAATGAAGCCCAGATGGCCATCTCTCTTCAACAGTTTTTCTACTGCAGGACCCAGGCACTGGCTCTCTTCAGTATGACTTTGAAGCATATCACAGCACCATTGCATTTCTTCTTTAGATATTTCATATGTGTGTTTTTTGGGTTTTTGAGTAGGATCTCACTAGATAGTTCAGGCTGGTCTTGAACTCACTGTGTAGCCCAGGCTGGCCTTGAAACCACAGCCATCCTCTTGCCTCAGCCTTCCAAATTCTGGGACTACACGCATGTACCACTGTGCTTGGCTGCCTTCACATTTGGAAGAGCAAGGACCTGTCACTTTGCGGTCTGTCTTCAAGTCTGAGGCTGTCTCAGCATTTCCTCACAGTTTGGTCCAAGCGCTGAATGTGTGTGTACCCATGTGCGTGTGCAATGTTGTGTCCCACTCGTATCCTAGCAGGAGGATGTGAGGTGACTCTGTCCTTTCTTGGAAGTACTGTGTTTGGTCATTTGGTTAGGGTGGCATGCAGAGGGTTTTAATGTATTTTCCTTTTTATACTTGGCACGACCGTGACATGATTGCCCAGTTTGCCACTCGTGTTTTGCGGCAGTACTTTGACCTGTGCTGGAAACTCTCCTGTCACTGTACGCTGGACAGCGCCCTGCCTTTCTTAGGCCAGCCTGGGCTCTGGTGCCTGGCACATGCTTAGGTCTGGGAGACGGCCCCGAGCAGCAGAGCAGCAGAGAGGGAGAAGCGATCAAAAACGCCGTGGGGAGTTGGGTGCTGAGAAGACAAATGGGGCCTACTTGGTCTCCAAGTTCCACAGCGGGTCTGCACTCTCTGGGAGGTGCTTTGATGTCGAAAGTGAGGCTACCTTTTTATCTGCCTGTCCGCAGTGCCCTCTTCCTCCTGGCCGCTGCAGGGTGCCTTCCCTTCAACGACCCCCAGGTAAGTCCCAGTACACGCTATGGCTGCTAAGGACCATCTCCTGGCTGCCACATTGCACATGCACAGTTCCTCAGGCCTCTTCGGAATGAGGGCAGCCCTGCCCGGCAGAGTGTCCTGCAGCATTCGGGTGTGGTCGGGGAAACCACACTGTCTGGAGACCGCATGTGCCCATGCCTCTGTCGCCAGCCTCGGCTCCTGAGCCCCAGTCATTTTCTCTGGAGTCCCTGGAGCCTCTTTTGGGGAGTGATTGTCATGGTGCCTATGAGGAGGTTTTCCTTGAGACCTCCCACCCTGGTCTGCTGAGCAGGTCTTTCTTTTCTCCCTTTCTCCTCCAGCATCCTGAAGCCACCTGAGTGTCAGGCTCCAGGCCAGGCTCTGAGCGCACAAAGATCAATCCTTGAACTGCCAGAAGTTGACCTCTGTTCCGAGCAGTGGGGAGGAAATAGGTCATCAGATCCTCACTCCCCTACCCTGCCCACAGGGCGGCCAGGGCCTTTGCAGGGTGACTGAGCTGAACACCTAGGGGGGCTCGGACTGGGAAGCTTGAGCATCCAACAATTACAGGAACCCTGCGGTGGGCTGGGCTGTCTGCCAGGGCTTTATGTGTCCTATTTTATTTAAAGTCTCACAAGACTCTGTAAGGGCAAGAACTATTATTATCTACATTTCATAGCTAAAGAACAGCGAGGCGTCAAGGTCACCACCTGAAGAATGAGTGAGCATTTGGGGGTGTGACCTAGACATCATTTACTGGACCCAAATCTAGAAGAATGAGCAGGAGTTTGCCACAGGAAGAAAGCAGGCAAGGCCAGCATCCTGGAGGGGTCATGAGTATTCTGGGACTGGGTTTGAGCCAAATCCTACTTTGTGTCTAATTCCTGCTCTCCTGGAGTTTATAATCTAGTGGAGAGCAGGTGGCAGTGGGAACAGATAAAGAATGAAGACACATTAGGGTGTGGCAGGTGATACTGAGTCCTGGGGAGGGTAAGGAAGGGAGAGGAGTCCCTTTGGCTAGTCGCCTGGCACACCTTCCATTTCAGGGAAATGGCCAGGTCATCCGTGTTTTGGGGCTGGAGGCTGTAGGAGCACCTGGAAGGGCTGGCAGGGCTTGTTCTAGAGGTCCTTGGGTGACATGAGTTTGCATCTAGTTTTTCTGAGGTTTTAATTTTTATTCTAGTACCCATTTGCAGTTCATGATTGCCTTCGTGGTAGAGAGTTAGTCCGTGGACGTAACACTGTTAGTTCGGTGTACACACCTTGCTTGCGCCTCCCTCCCCACCCCCCTCTCTTAGTCTCCTTCCCTTTTGCAAAAGATCTGTCTCCTTGTTATGTGACTGCATTTGAACACAGTGTGGCGTCAGGCTGGGTGCAGGGTGCTGGAGGCTGAGTCCTCTTGGGAGGAGTTGTAGCTGCTAGATGATAAATGAGGAGGTGCTGACAGGCCGGAAGTGCTGATTCAGAGCCCTCGCTTGGCACCGCACAGAGCCGACAATGGGTCCTGTTCATCTGTCCTGACAGCCATTTTTTAAAATCTGTTTTTTCTTTTTTTAATCCTGTGTTGCAGTTTGATCCAGAGGGATATTTTTGGGCTGTAATTCACTTATTCTGTGTAGGTAAGTTTGAAAAGAATGCTTACTTAAGCAGTTGAGGATTGCTATTGAGTCCTCACTCGAGATCCACTTTTTAGTAACCCTGTAAGCCATAGAAAAGTTAAAACAAGTCGTTAAAAAGCTAAAATGAGAGCCAGGGAGTTAGCTCAGCAGCATAAGCGCCTGTCTGGGAAGTGTGAAGTCATGAATTCAATCCATGCTACCCCTCCAAAAAAAAAGTTAAATGGGTATTTTCTGGGTTGGCTTTTCTGTTGTGGAGTTTTTCTTCAATTATTTCTATTTCCAATATAATTTCCTCTTTTCCATGATGGATGTGAACCTGCCCAGCTGCTCATATAATGGAGGGTCTCTAGGAAGTCATGTCAAAGACTTTTCCTTGGGCCAGGGATGTAGGTCAGTGGCACAGAGCCTGCCTGGCAAGCTCAAGGTCCTGAGTTCGATTCCTGGTACAAAAACAAAGCAACAACAACAACAAAAACTACCTTCTCGTAGTCTACCCCTCAAAATTAAAAAATGTAGTTGGTGAAATCAGGACCACCTCATGTCATTTGAAATCACACGGCCAGTGTCTCTTGTCATAGTCCCAGGGACAAGCGGCACACTGCTTTTGTTAATGCAGGTCAGACCTGTTCAGACTTGTGGCATTCCTCTTGCCCGGGCATGGTGTTCAAAGGAGAAAAAGGTCCTGTTAGTGGAAGCCACCTGCTGTCCCTGGCTGTCCTTGGCCAGCCTCTCTGCAGGCCCTGGAAGATAGACTTGGCCTTTCCACGGAGAACCATTCACAGCCTCAGCCCCTCGGTGTTCAGTCCCCTGTCTGTGTATGTGCCCATCGGGGGAGAGGGTATCAGCTGCTCCTTTCCAAGGGTGGGCAGCTCTTAAGCAGGACACACGCTTCTTCTTTGCAGGGGGTTATAAGGTACTGCGGAAGGCCCAGAACCCCTGCACATTAAGGTAAGTGCTTAATGCTCTGTGTGGGGGGGTTTCTGGGGGGTAGGGCAGGTAAAGGAGAGGGTGAGGTCTGCATGACTACAGCTGTGGTGGTGACGGAGGGCACAGATGCAGTCTGAGCTGCCTCTCTGCTCTTGGTGCTGGGCCATTTCCAGCCTAGTGCACAGTCTTTGATGGTGTATGTCTGGGGTCTCCATCCCCTTCCTGCAGGGCAGCCACCCAGAGGAGAGTGTCATGACAGGCATGTGGCCAGCTGCTGGGCCCCCAGCTGGCTACCTCTAGCTCGAAAGATCTTGACTTATTTTACACCCAGGGTCTCTTCAAATTGCAGCACATTCTCAGGTAGAATGAGACCTTTACTACCAGCAGTCATTGGAGCCACCTTGGCAAAGGGAGCTGAAGAAAGACTGTCACTATGGTCCTGTTGAGCGGAGCCGGGAGGTCAGTGCCCAGGCCTGTGCCTATCGGTGCTGCTTAAAGGCCTGCAAAGGAAAAGGCCATGCACTCTAAGAACCAGATCTTTACTCCTTAAAGCTTTTTAAAAAGTTTTTAAAATAATTTTTCTGCCAGGGATTTAGCTCAGTGCATAAGCAACTACCTGGCAAGCATGAGGTTGTGAGTTCGATCCCTGGCACCAATAAATAAATAAATAAATTCTGTATTTGATTTTGAACCTAGGGCCTTCACATTGAGCTATATCCCCAGACCTTTTTGCATTGTTTTGAGGCAAGGTCTTGCTGAATCCCTAAATTACCTGTTGATTTTGAATTTGAGGTCCTCCTGCCTCAGCCTCCCAGAGTGCTCTGAGTACAGTTGTGTGCTACCATATCTGGATTCCTTTGTCCTTTTAATAAAGTGTTTTGCATGAGGAAACCAAGAGTTGCCTAAAATATAGGATGCTGAGTTAAATTTGAATTTCAGATAAGCAGCAAATAATTTTTTTTTACTGTATATCCATGGGATATTTAGGACATACACTTTACTCTTTATCTGAAACTTAAATTTACTTGAGTTACCTCTATTTCTGTTTGTTAAATGTGGTCACTTTAGAAGCCAGTCTAGTGACCTGAGATTGATAGTCCTTTGAAAGTGGCCAGTGGAAAGCAGCTGGCCACAAGTGAAAATGTGTACAGTGTACTAAATAGCACAGTTTCTTCAAAAAACCCAATCAGGATAAAGTTATGTACAAATTTAAAACAATTTTTAGAAAAAAATCTAAAAAGTTATTCTCCGTTCTTAAAAAACCTAAAACTGTTTTGAATATAAAGTATTCTTCCTCCTATTTATTACTTACAACAATAGTAACTTATTTAGATAGAATTTATTATAGGGGATAATGCCTACTTCATGTATTTAAGAATTACTTCAGTTATACTATGTTTGATCTTTTTCTTTCTTGTTCCTTAGTGATATTGACCAGCAGTACTTCAACTATATATTCAGGTAAAATACAATTTACTTCTTTTTTTGGGGGGCGGTACCAGGGATCAAACTTACAACTTCATGCATGCTAGGCAATTGCTTATGCTGCTGATAATTTACTTTTTTTTTTTTTTTTTTTTTTTGGTACTGGGGATTGAACTCACAGCCTAGAGCTTGCCAGACAGGTGCTTATGCCACTGAGCTAAATCCCCAGCCCTAATTTACATTTTTAAAGAGCAGTGTTACAGAACAATCCTTCCACAGCTAACAAATTTTTATTTTCCAATAATAATTTGATTATAAGGATTCTGAGCAAGTAGGCCTGCCGGGAAAGCAGGTAAAATAATCTGTGAGATGATCAGAATTGAGGAAACCCAATAGTATGCAGTCCTCAGACCATTGCCACACCTGGCCCCCTGCAGGGTTAGGGACCTCATGGCAGTGGCATCTGGATTCCCCCAGAATCCTACTCAGTGGTCCTACGCCTGGTCCAGGGACCAGGTCCGTTTCCCAGGTTGGCCTGGGGGAGCCATGTAGCTGCTGGGAGGGGCTGAGGTGGAGGTGGCCTTGTGAGCGGGGTGTGCACACACACGTGTGACACTCGCTCCTTGCATGCAGGACTGAGCCTGGGAAGAAAAATCAGATCTCCCCACATGCTGCCTCAGCCATGGGCCCCAAATGCTCCTGGAATTCGAAATTCTAATCTGGATTTCAGGATGTTTTGAAAGGGTATTTGTTAAGGTACAATCAAGTTTGAAGCTTGACTTACAACTTATTTTTTACAAATTAAAATGAATTTTACTGAACAACTCAAATGGGAATAGTGATAAATGAGTGAAATTATTTTTATTTTATTTTTATTATTATTATTATTTTTGGTCTTTTTCATTTTTATTGGTACCAGGGATTGAACTCACGACTGCACACTTGCAAGGAAGGCGTTTATGCCGCTGAGCTAAATCCTCAGCCCGTGAAATTATTTTTAAGATTAAAAACAGATTAAAAGTATAGGCATTGCATTGTTTCTATTTCCATTTAAGCCAACTGTATGTTGTGCGCTGAAAAGTTATTTAGACAAGATGCATGGTTGAGATTTTAGACTTCATACAGATTCTAGAACAGAAATTTTTTTCTGCTTTTCAAATTATTACATATATTTATCTGCAGTACAACATTTATAAAACAGAACAGCTACAACAACAAAGGCAACATTATTAGGAGAGTTGTTTACTTTTTAATGGTTGTAGTGGAGTCAGTTTTTCCTCATTAAGTACCTGTAGGGATTTAGCATACGTGTTCTTTTCTTTGTTTCTCCAGACAGGGTCTTGCTATGTACCATAATTCAGGCTGCGATCCTCCTGCCTCAGCCTCCTAAATGCTGGGATTAGAGGCGTGTGCCACCACACCAAGACACACAGTTCTTAAATACCACCAAGAACATGGAATTGATAAAGCAACATTGTGTGTGTGTGTGTATTTTTTTTAGTCAAAATGCAAGATAAAAGGACTGACTTTTTTTTTAAGAGTAGGAAAATTTTTGGAGAAAAAGAATGGGGACTAGGAATGAGGAATAGAAACGGCTCCTGAGAGACAAAGGGCTCCCAAATGGGTTGCCCAAGGACTGACTTTTGATCAAAACTTAAATAAAAAATGAACTTTGGAAACACATTTTAAAGTACCCTCCCAACCACTGGCAGCGCATTTCCTTACGCCTCAGAAGCAAGCCCAGGAGTTCCAGGGGCCCCAGCTTCTGCCCTTTCTCAGTGGCCCAGCTGTCAGCCACCCCCACACCGTGCACCTGGCCCTGCCCCACCCCCCTGCTGACATCAGGTGTCCCCTGAGCTCTGCAGGTCGCTGACTCCTGGGTGTCACGCCTGCCTGCTGCTTTCTGGCCGCCTGCTTGCCTCCTCCTGAGTCTATTCTGCTTCCTGTGCCTCTTCAGAGCCTCTCCTGGCTTCTTGCTCTGGCCTCTGCCATGCTCCTCAGCTCGCTGGCTCTTTCCCGGCCAACGTGCTCATCCTTTGCCCTGGACCTTGAGCTGCCTGCCTTTGTGTGCTGAGGTCTCTGCCACTGATCACTTCTGTTTTCCCAGCTCTGTGTGGGTCGGCGTTTGTGCATCTTTCCTTCCTTCCTGTCCTGCGCTCATCTCTTCCTCCTCCCCACTTCTCATGATCCTTTCATTGTCTGCCTTTTCCTTTCTTCTGCTTACTCTTTTTCCTCCTGGTTCCCCTCTTCCCTCAGTAGTGGGGTCTCTGTCCCTCCTCTTCCACGAGAGTTGGAGGAACGCATTGTCCTGCAGTTTACTTGGTCTCAGTCACCCCTAGATTTCTCTTCGTTTGTCCCAGACTGGGCTTCATGCAGCTGCATTTGGAAGCTTCCTCTTCACCAGCTGCTTGACTTAATGGGCGCCTATAAAGTCCATTGCGGTCTCTGCTTCGTTATACCCACATGTGCTTTATTCTTCCTCTTCTGCTCTTTCTTGCAGTTAGTTTTCTGTTTTTATAAGTAAACCCTTTTTTCCATCAAATTCTACTTTTTCCACTTCTCCTTTTTACTCTTTTCTTGCCCATTTTCTCCTGATCATAAAGGTTTTTAGTGAAAATACTGTACTTGAGGTTTCAGTGTTCCTAAAAGCATCTTGGGATTTCTTTCCTCCTTTTTTTCTGTACCTCATCATAAAGACTGTCATATTTGTATACGTTGGAATCTTCAGCAAGAGCCTTCTGCATTTCCAGCTTGGTTTGGGGGAAGTTTGTTTAATTTTACTTGTGCCTTAGTTTTTTTTTTTTTTTTTTAACTAAAAACCAAGGTTAGCTGGATGTGGTGGTGTAGTCTATAATCCCACACTGTGGGAGACTGAGGCAGGAGGATCACAAGTTCAGGCTCAGCCTGGTCATCACAGACCATTTCATGGCCTGTTTCTTGGCTGCTTCCTTCTGAAGGTCATGGAGGCCCCCTCATTGTCATTGTAGCTATCATCATTGTCATCAGCAATATCATTCCCAGAGACTGATGGCTTTTGCAAAAATGGTGCCACAGCCGTTTTCTTTGGCAGAATAAGCCTGTACTTCTGTCTGGAGTCACCACCCTGCTCCCATCTCCAGTGAATGTTGCCTGAGTTATAACTTTTAAATACGGTGTACGGACTTCTCTAAATAGAAGAGCCAGTGTCATGGGTGGGTTTCAGCAGCCCCCGACTGTGCACTGCTGGAGAAGCGAGCTTTGCTGCTGGGAACCCTAGGTTGTCTTGTGCTACAGAGCTCCCAGGTCAGAGCTGGGCCTCAGTGCCATGTGGAGCTGATTCTTGAGGAGGTCCTTTGATGGAGACCATCCAACATGAGCCAGATTCTCCCTCTGCAGAGGAAGCTAATAAACAGCTTAACATTTACGCAGGTGCCATTTAAAAAGCAAAACACCTGAGCATGGCCTTGGCTGCCAGTGTTGTCAGGAGAAAACAATCGTTAGTTCCACTCTGCGCGACCCAATAGCTATTTCTCTAGGGACTTTTCTGAAAACACAGGAGCTGCCTGGTGTTTTCAGAGCCCTGGAGGGCTGGAGTGTAGCTCAGATATTGATAGAGCACTTTCTAGTACACTCAGGTCCCCTGAACAACAACAGTGATAACCCTCACACCACACAAAAACGCATTCCTAAGACACTGGGCCTTGTTAGGCAGATCTGTACCAAAGGTACAGCTGCATCACACACCAAAGGAATAGGAGAGGGGCGCCTGTGACCCTCAGTCCTTGCTCTGTCTTTTTCCTGCACTTGAAGTGGGGATTATTTCTAATGCACCACGCGGTGAGCCCGGTGCTCTCACTTCCTGCCTGGGTCTGCAGCACACCCTGCTAGAGATGTTTCCAGGTTTTCCATCCCATCCGAATGATGAAGAGGTATGAATCAGGATGAGGCCTCTCTTCTGTCTCTCACTGGCACTGAGTGCTGCTGGAATCTGCACCCAGAAACCCACGGGCTGCTGAGCTCTAGGTTGGCCTGGCTGGCAGCCTGCACCACTGCCTGTGGATGAGGCATTGTTTTGAGCTCTCAGTATTTGGAGAGAGAGAGGCAAATACGTGGTATGTTGGTCCTCATCTTCCACAGATCCTTCTGGACCATTTAGTTTGTTTGCTCCCTGATGCTGGCTTTTTCTAATGTTTCTAATATAGACAGAGGACTAGAGCACAGGTAGTGGGAAAAGATGAAGGAAAGAAGAAAAGGAAGGATGTGTGTGGGGCAGAAAATGAGGAGCTTCTGAGACCGGAGTGACATTGATCTGTATTTGGGAGTTTGGATAATTTATAAGGAGTGAACTCAACACATGTATTTGTAGCATCTTATTTTTTTTAAAATACGAGGCAGACTTAGGTCTCTCTAAGCCTGTTAAACAGAAAATTACCATAATGCTGCTTCTTCACTCTGCACCTCCTTACTTTGCAGATAAGATTTTGTACGTATGTGACAGAGGGAATAGGCAGGCATTCTTTCTGGGTATGACTTCTCAAACTGAAAAAATGTACTGGAGTCCAGCAAGTGGAGATGGTAACGGCTTCGTGTGTTCCTGTTGTATTTCCAGAGACCATGGAGTATCATCTATTTTGTTCATTCTTTCCTTGCAGATATTAAAATAGTGTCTGACAGGTACTAGGCACTGAAACCAATGTTTACTGAAATAGCGAATTTAAAAAAGATCCACTGTTTGTCTGGCTTAAAACACCTCTTATTAGAATAACTTCCTCATTGGAGTTTTGTCCAAACATTTTTCCCATCACAAGTGCGTCTAGCCGTAATGCACAGTGTTAAAACACATAGTGAGCCCCTGCTGTGTGTCTGACCCTGCTAGGCATTTTTAATCCAAAGAGGAATGTGATGTGGATCTTGTTCCCAAGGAGGTCATAGAGGAGGAACTAGGAGCAGGTTAAACGATACTTAAAACTGGCAAACAGCTGTGGTGGTGCACGCCTGTAATCCTAGAACTCAGGAGGTTGAGGCAGGAGAGGCTGCAGGATCACTGCAAATTTCAAGCCAGCCTGAACTACACAGTGAGATCCTGTCATAAAGAAACCAACAAACAACTACCCTTGCAAAATTCCAAATAGGGCTTTGAGAAGCAATTCTTTGATTTAATGATTTCTTCTTATTGCCACCCTCACTCAATTTTTATTTTAGGGTCACCCTTTGGAGGAGTGGTCCTGATGATGGAACTTGGAGGCAGGAGAGCCCCCTCCTATTCTGTGACAAGAGCAGTAACTTCTGCTCCTCATGTTGTAATGGAAAGGAGAGCAGGGAGTTAAGACTGGAGCATGTGCAGGTGGTGTGTTCCAAAGAAAAGACGACAAATGGTTTGACCGCCATTTCTAGGCTTGTGTGGGTTGTGTTGTGTTAAGTGTTTTGAGACAGAGTCTCACTGTGTAATTCAGGCTGCCTTGATGACTATGTAGACCACGCTGGCCCCAAACTCCCCAGCCCCTGAATGCTGGGGTTATAGGCGTGTGCTGCCATGTACAGCTTTACACAGTTCATTTTATGGCAGAAAGTGTGCTTAGATGCTTCAGATTGTGACTGATTTGTAATTTGGAGTTGTTTTGTTTAGCTTTCAGAGACTCTTGGTAAGTGAGGTGAGTGTGATAATAGGGTCAGCCAGGGCCAAGAAAAGTAGCACAGCTGACCTGCAGGTGGGACAGGGTTTGTCCCAGGGCTGGATTCAGTCCTTTTGCCAAAACCTGGAACATTCCAAGGACCTCTCGCTCTCTGAGTTGGGTTTAGGCAGGATCGGGCCAGTCACTGTGGTTAATTTGCTTTTAGGCAAATTTAACTGTTTCTAAGTAGAAGGGCTGAAACTTTTATTTCTGTTTTAATTCTCCATTTGATTTTTGCCCCAGTGCTGAAGAAGCCTCCCTAACTTCTGTGCTGTTCTTTTCCAGTGTGGTGCTCCTGGCATTTGCATCTCATCCCACAGGTAAGCCACTTTAGTGTTTGAGTGTTCGATGTTACACTGTTGTGTGTCAGTGCCACCGGGCCTGCTCCAGCCCTGCAGACACCTGTAAGAGAATGTGGTCGCCTCCTAGGATGTCACAGAGAGGTCAGAAGCAGCCCACATGTTTGCAGTGCTCTTGGTAACCCACCAGAGCAAGCTGGGGTACAGCTCCATGGTGGAGCATGAAGCCCTGGTTCCTTCCCCGGCTCTACCAGAAATTAAAATTAGAAAGAAAACATTACGAATTTATTGCCCAGGAACTTAATCTTACTCTGCCTGAATTTTGATGTCAGTAAGTCATCTGCTGATCTGTATCTCAGGAAAACGCAAGTGTCCATTACCTGCAGGGCAAACGAGAGCTTGTTTTACTGTCCTCCGAAATTCCTTCCCAAACTGTCCAGAATTTCTCATAGTTATGGTGTTTAAGAATTTGCTGAAAAAGTTCAAATTCACTTTTTTTTAGCGGACATCATTTTATAAATCTTTGAATTACAAGTCACCATCCAGTTTTCACAATTTGAGGATAAAGTCAGTTTTTGGAACTTATTTTCACACCGTTGCTGCCTCAGTTGCTCCATAGCTGCTTCTTAGATTCAGGAATTCCCCACAATGCTCTATTCCATCATACTTTTTCACTGTGAAAGGCTTTGAAGTCATTAGTCCATTTTATTCTGCTAATAAGAATACCACAGGCTGGGTAAATTGTGAAGAAAGGAGGCTTATTTGGGCTCCCGAGTTGTCCAAGGTCATGAGGTCCTATCTGGTGATCTTTTTCCTGCTGGGAATCCTGAGGTGGCACAAGACATTACATGGTGAGAGCCAGGGAGAGTTTCCTGGGGTCTCTCCCTGTTAGAAAAGCATGTGTGCCTAGTAGGGGCCCTGGCTTGATGATGACCTCATCTAATGCTACTCTCCTCCCAGAAGCCTTCCCTCTAAGTACCGTTTTCCAAGTAAGTGTGCGTCCTCTCCAGGCTCCACAGTGGGGTCCCATTTCCGCTTGAGTTTCTGACCCTTCAGAGCAATGTTACCCAAACCACAGCAGAAGCCGATGCCCAAGATAAAATGGTCGCATCGGTGTGTGGCTTAGCTGGAAGTGCACTTTCACTAGCCTTGCTCCATGTGTCCTGGTGGAGTTCAGTGGAAAGAAGTTTGATTCAGAAGGGTTGGAACTTCTTTGACTTCCTTACTGAGTGGCCTTGAGACCTTCTGAAAACAAAACAAAACAAATGTTACTGACCATTGGCACTCAGTGAAGCCAGGTACGTGGCACATGCCTGTCATCTCAACACTTTGGGAGGCTGAGGCAGAAAGATCGCAAGTTTGAGCCCAGCAGGAGTAACTTGGAGGAATATCTAGATCCCATCTCAAAGTAAAAAATAAAGAGGACTAAGGATGTAGCTCAGGGGAGAGGCCTTGAGTTCAGTCCCCAGTATTGCAAAAGAAGGAGAAAGGGAAGGAGAAGAGTGAGGGAAAGAAGAAGAAGGAAGAGGAGGAGGAGGAGGAAAAGAGAGGGGTAGCCTGCCCGGAAAGTGCCACTTTGCTCTCTTCCTGTGCCCAAAGCAATGACATCGCTTTCTGTTTGTAGTTTTGGCTGCTTCTGACTTCAGCAGGGAGGTTCCGTAGTATGAACTTCAAGCTGTATATGCCATCTGCCCAGGCCCCTAAGGATAGTTTGTATCACCTTTCCTTAACGTGTTACTACTCTCCTCGGGTGTGGAAGCCCTTAGCTCTCACAGCCTGGCGACATCTCAGAAGCCTGGGGTTAGCCATTCACGTCCTCTCCATGGTTGTGTGTGAAAAGCCTGGCCTACCATACCCTGTTGTAAGATACACACAGTAATGACTCTCACGAGGCCAAGCCGTGGACCCTAACCAGTTTCTGCTCCCCTTGCTGTCTACGTCCTGCTCCATCTTCTGCAGCCAGGCCAGGGGTCCTTGCTGTGAAATGCATGTTTGTCAGAAGCCTCTGGAAGGTTAGTCCCATGTGCGGGTTCTCCTGGTTTAGGGTTTCAGCACTTCCATTGGACTCAGGCAGGTATTTTTTACCTACAGAGATCACTTTGCCCTTGAGCTGGGAGATTTGTTTATCCATGGGTTTCAGAGCTGGAAAGAATTTTAGCAACAATCCCAGGTGTCACCAAATCTCCCAAGAGGGGACACGGAAGCTCACAGGAGTTAAGTGATGTGACTAAGATGCCTACCAGGAGGAGACTGTTTAGGGCTCCTGACCCTGCTCTCAAGTTTTTCTTTCCATTTACTGCCCTTTTCCTGTGATCCTACACTTCTTTATCCAGTGTCTCAAGAAAGCGAATAGTTTCAAGTGAATTTAGAAATTCCTGAATTTCTTTTGGGAGCTTTTTTTGATTTGGGGAGGGGATTTTTTCCACCCGTTTCCAGGCATGATGGTTGCTGGTGTAGTTTGTCTGTTTTGGCCAGTGGCCTGACGTTTTACCTGGAGGCACTGCTAAATTTTTGAGTCACTGAAAAAATACCTCAGACACATACGTATTCTCTGGGGACAGAAAGTGGTCAGCAGCCTATGACTACAGAGTGGACTGGACAGAGAATAAATTACCATAGAGATCGATTGCTTTTTTAGGTGATGAAAATGTCCTGGGGTAAAATAGTGGAAATGGTTGCACAATGTACGACTCCACTAAAAACCACAGAAGTCTGCACACAAAAGGGGCAATTGTATGTATGTGAACTGTGTTTCAATAAGAAAAGATTTAGGAGACAGGAAAAACTTGTGATTTGAGAGCCTTTTTGCACTTAGTTAATCTAGAAGAAGATACGAGGATTCATTTTCCTTCAAGTTACATTTTAGGGCCTAGGGGTAGATCTGTGGTAGAGCACCTACCTGGGATGGGTGAAGCCTTGGGTTCGATCTCCAGTACTGATATTAAAAAAAAAAAAAAAAATCCATGGACATCAGCTGTTTGCCTCTCATCATTTTTCCTGTAGCTTAGATCCCATTGTGTGGCAAATAGCAGGTCCGTGGTGGGCGCACAGGGAACTGGGAAGCCTGAAGGGTTTGTTTTAAACACACTTCTCTTGAAGGAGCCCTATCTGCAACTCTGGTGTGTTGCATTGTGTACCTCTGCCAGGCGAGGTGCTGTCACTGCAGAGGACAGGTGTTCAGAGTGGGGCTGATGAGGAGCTCCCTGGGCCACTCATACTCGTGTGCCTCTTTGTCAGAAGCAGAGGTGATGTTGGGTCCCTTGCTGTGAGTAGCTGAGGCTCCCAGGGAAGGATGCCCGAAAGCTGCAGGATCTGGGTATGGCCACATAGCAGGGTTCCTACAAAAGCCTTGGGAAGATGGCCATGGGATTATGGACAGGTTGGGAGCAGTCTTCAAGAAGGAGCAAGATCTTCTCAAATATACCAGTGCCAAGCATTGACCTCAAACCTAGGTAGCCATGGAGTTTGCCCTCAAGGGTCTGAATGGGTGAGGACCATTGAGTAACGTAGTGAAGCTTCATGCAAATAACCTTCCCATGTTTTGATCAGCCTGAACCTTTCAGAACTCTTGAGGCCATACAGAGAGCTATGGTCTACTGGGGTCTGTGCCTAGGTCCCCAATCTCCCAAATGAGTGCACAGCGAAGGCCCAAATGAATGAGATAAGTGGTATGATGTTTAGGGCTCCAGGAGGACCAAAATCCTCTGCAGAGTTTGTAACTCTGATAGCTGAGACAGATAAGGTCTCTGGGCGGCCTATATTTATTCAAACAAGAAAGAGGTTAGAATGGAAAATGCAGGAGACCTGAGCAGGACTTTGGAAGGGGTTCAAGGGCCTGTCCAAGCAACAGATGATGGTAATTAAGGAGAACTATCCTAGGAGAAAGTCTCCAGGTGTCCTCAGCTGAGGCCTATGTTGCCCCTAGGGTGTCTCCTCATTCTCAGTTCAGTCATGCCTGGGCCATGCCACAGCCCTGCACGTGTATTCAGCTTTAATGACTCCAACAGTGGTCTATGTAAACAGTATCTTCTTGTGTCAGCTTTCTCATTACTGAAATGCATTTCTTAATAACTACCCACAATTTAAAGGAGATGAGGTTTAGTTTGCTCATGGTTTTAGTTCACAATAGGCTGACTCCAAGGCAGAGACCTCATGGTGGAAGGACCCAGCAAAGCAGAGCTGCTTAAGTCATGGTGACCAGGAAGCAGAGCAGTGAACAGTGCCAGACAGGAAGGAGTGAGGGACAGACACAGACCCCAAGGCCACACGTCTGTGACTACCTGAAAGTGTGCTCCGCCAGTATCTAGGGTGGATCCCAAAACCAATGAGTTTGACACTCCACCCTCACCACTATGCCTTCCCTCTGAAGCTGCACAATACACAACTCATAGGCCGAGGCACATCGTTTCCAAATGCACTCAGGGATTGGGAGGTGCTTATACTTCGCAAAGCAGAGAATGAAGGCACGTGGATATCATGGTAGGAATTTAGTGTGAGAGTTGACAGTTAAGATTTGAGAGTCTCTTGGGAGTCAGTTGCCCTGAACTCCAATGGATCCTGGTGATATTAACTCATAGTGGTGTTGGTAGGGTTGCAGCAGATAAAAGTGGATCACTGGGCCTTAGAGTCAATGTATGTTTAACTTTCTAAGAAAGTTCAAAGTGTTTATGCCATTGGTCACTCCCACCTAGCAGTGTGGGAGATTCCGGTATCACTCCTCCCTACCATCTGGTGTGTTGTCTTGTTTGAGCTTTTCTGCTGAGTAGCAGTCTGCAGGTGGCCCTTGGCCTGAGCTTCCTTCCTTACTTTCATATGAGGACTAGAGAGAAGGGCTTCTTTGCAGATGCACCTTTGCCATGTGAGGTCAGGCAGGTCTCCATGGCCAGGGCACTGGATCAGCTCCTGGCATTGGAGTCGCTTCCTGGCCTTTGGTCCTCATGATTCATGTAGAGGCTCCAAGAATCTCCACATCTTGCTTAGGAAGGACCACCTTCCCCCTTGGACTGTTTTGAACAGTAGAGAAGAGAATTCTCCCTATGTTTAAATTTTACACTTTATATTTCTGTGGAGCCCCTCTGCTGTGGTGTTCAGGAGAGAATTTCAAGAAAGCAGAGGAGCGAGGGGACCTGCAGGAATCTGACCCTGAGGTGACGGTTGGTACCTGAGGTGCCTGATGTCCATGTGTGAGCTAAAGCAAGCAGTGCTAATCACCTCCAGCACCTGACTCCACATTCCAGCCAGTTGTGCAGGCTTGCGTGTGGTGAGAGGAAGTCTCCTTTGATTTTAAGTCTCAGTCTTCAACATGGCAGGATTGTGCCACACTTTTCACCATGGCAGTTCCATGCTCTGTAATCTTCAGAGAAGCACAGTCCCCTCCCTCCCTCAATCAGCACAGTTTGAGCTAGAGTGTTAGCCTCAGGTCGCTGCCACTAAACATGGTGCCAGTCTTCTAGGCACTTGCTTGGTGGAGTTAGCATGCAACTTGAAGCAAAATAGTGTGGACTTGTGGCTTATGAGTATCTTTCCAGTGTTTACAGCCCTACCCTGAGTTCTACGGGGTTAGAGTTAGCCAGGCACAATGCTACAACCTCTCAGGGGTATTCATGGCAGAGTCACTGTATTGTGTGGTTTTCCTGTTGCTCTGACATAGTACTGGACACCCACAATTTATTTATTGATTGATTTATTTGGTCTGTTTGAGACAGGGTCTCACTATGCAGTTCAAGCTGGTCTTGAGCTCACTTTGTAGCCCAGGCTGGTCTCAAATTCATAACCATCCTCCTGCCTCAGCCTCCTGAGTGCTGGGATTACAGAAATGCACCAGCACGCTTGGGTTGGATACCCACAATTTAAAGGGGAGGTTTAATTTGGCTCCCATTTTAAGGGGATTGAGTCCATGGTCAATGGTTCCCAGGCAGAAGAATCATGGTGGAAGAACATGGTGGAGTAAAACTGCTTAGTTCATAGCATTCATTTGAGAGCACGGCAGGAGACTAGAGAGGGAGGGGTGAGGGACCATGTAGAGTCCTCAAGGTCATGCCTCATGACCAGACAGACACACCTAGCAGTAACCTAGCAGTGTGCTTTACTAATCCCCTGGGTGTCTCTCAAACCCATCCAGTTGACAGTTAAGCTTAATCATCACAGTCACTGATTCTTGTTGTTTAGGGGCTGGTATGCACCCTAATGGTGCTTCCTTTTTTGGGTTTTGTTTTGCTTTTGGGACAGGGTCTCACTATGTAGTTCAGGCTGGCCTTGAACTTGCCATGGAGTCCAGGCCAGCCACAAACCCATAGTGATCTTCCTGCTTTATTCTCCTGAGTGCTGGATATAATACTGCGTTAGTAAGAGAAGGGCAGGATGAATTTAAAAAAGGGAAATGTTGGGGCTAGCTGGAAACTGAGGACCACACAACCAGTGAAAACATTTTATTCAGGAAGTGCAAGAGATGGTCAGGTCTTTGGGATATGTTGTGTTCAGCCGTGTTTGCTACATGCTGGGTACAGTGCTAACGCGGCAGATGGACAGGTGCAGTTGTGTTGCTGCTTCCAATAGCTGACAGTCCTAGGGGATGGGTGAGAGGCGCTAAGTCAACTAGGTGCTATGTGAGGGATGTGTAAAGGTGCTAGGAATGGCTCAAGAATGAGGGTAGGCTACGCTCTTTCTCAGTCATTTAAGGGATCCATTTTTGAAAGTCAGTTGGGGTTGTGCTCTAACTGGAAAATCTCTTAGGATTCTGAGTTGTTCTTTGCCTTCCTCCCTTCTGAGGTACCCCAACCTGTTCCAGTGCTCTTTGGTCCCACTCCAAAGCCTACGCTGGTCTATAAAAGCTCCTAGTGCCTCTGTGAGTCCAGTTCACCCCCTAGAGTATTTCTGCTGAAAGCCCCCAGATGAGGCACAGCTGGGAGGACCCCAGGGTCTCACGCTAATGGGCCACCCCCAGCCGTTCCTCATTATCACACTGACTGCACTGCCTTCCTGTCACACTGAGAGGGTATTTGGGAAAGAGCCAAGAGGAGCAGCTGCCCAGAGACAGCCAAGTCTCTGGGCAGCCACAGTCTCTCGCAGGCGTCCCTTCCACATGCCTGAGCAGCGTCTGGCACTCTTGAGGTCCTCAGGGTCACCTTGGCTGCCACTTCTGTGGGGAAAGAGACCTCAAAACACATCCATGCTCACCCTGCACTAGAGAGCTCTGCCTTTATGAGTTCCCTCTGACACATCACAGGTCCAAGTTGGGAGTGGAGGCTTTTAGTAGAATCATGGCTAAGGAGAACATGATTGCTGGGCTGCACGAAAATGAAATCCCAAGTACATGCACTCAGAGATAACAGAAATAACCTGGCGAGACAGAATTCAAAACTGCCTTTCTAACACATGAGCAGATCATCTGAGATCACTTACATTCCCAGGAAGTGCAGAAGCTATTGCATCTCGAATTCTGAAATGCTTGATGTGGGTGCAGTACAGAAGGATATACTGCCTCTATGTCTCACCACACACCTTGCACCCCCTGAAGTACTTAGGGGAGTCAGCCTTCTCCCTGCAGCTCACCAGGACTGTGAGACAGACCAAGCCCTGAGATCCACAGTCCCAGGCTCCTGTGGAGTGGCAGGAATTCCAGATTTGGAAGGATTAAGCTCTGCGCTGTGGAAATGCTTAATTTCTTTTCTCAGGACATTTTTGGAAGGCTTTCTGCTTTTTTAATCTCCTGACTTCTTGTTTGTGACCAAGTTCAAATTCCAAAGAGAAAAGCAGCCAATATGTGTGATTATTTCCTCTTGTACCAAGTGGAACTAAAAGAATGATCTGACTTCACAAGAAATAAATGTACCCTTTGGACCTTAGGCTAAAAAGAGCATGCACAATGGCTCTGGCCTCTGTGCTGTTTGTGCAGTAATTAAGCACAAAAATGAAAAAAGATGTCCAGGGAATGCATTCATACTCTTTTTTTTTGGACATAGGCTGCAAAAAAGAAAAATCCTAAAAGAATACTTTTTGGTTCTATACCCTGTAATACTGTCATTCTCTTGAATGGTTTTACATTGTCTTGATATGTTTGGTGCGACAGTATATGAAATTAATACTCAAAGATTTCAAGGAAAGAGACACTATGGTAACTACTTTTATGTTAGGATATCTTGTGGTGAAACACTATTTTGCTTAAATAGTTATGCTTTGACCTGCGCTGGTTTGTTGTTATGCCCTCTTTTATCTCAATCTCCTTTTTTTAAATTATTTACTTTTTTATCTTTTTAATTAAGGGAAAAATAGGGGCTGGGGATTTAGCTCAGCAGCATAAGCACCTGCCTTGCAAGCAGGCAGTCGTGAGTTTGATCCCTGGTACTGATAAAAAGGAAAAAGACAAAAAAAAAAAAAAAATTAAGGGAAAAAAAAAAAGCAGAATACATTATAGTAAAAAAAAAAGAATACTCCCCCTTCCCACACACACACATTGTCCTGGGTCATGGAGGCTGCCTGGTGAAGCTCTTGGGGTCTTCTGCCTTCGTGCCTCAAGACTTACGCAATCTCATACCCTCTCTTCCCTGAGCTCCAGTTTAAATGGGGACAACAGAGCCTCACAGAGTTCTGAAGACAGAACAGGATAAAGGTGAGGCGCTTTTAGCAAAGGCCCCTGCACAAGGCATGCTGTCACCAAACAGGCATTATTATTATCTGTTTGCTCATATTAAATAGCACTGTCAACCCAGTGTAGACAGCTCTGGGAGTCAGTGGGGGGCTGCAGGACAGTGTGTGCAGGGGGACACAGAGGGCAGAGGGGGCCATTGTCACACCATGCTTGTGCTCTGCAGGTGACCTCTTCAACGTCCTGGACTTCCCATTCCTGTATTTCTACAGATTCCATGGCAGCTGCTGTGCCAGGTAACCTTCAGCTCACTGATTCTAGTGTCTTTCCGTGTCTCTGTGAAGGCCACAGTCCCTGCCAGTGACTCAAATGAGTGGCAGAAGCCAGTGGTGGTGGGTGCAGCTGAGAAGCAGCTCCCTCCGACCCCAGCAGGTTGTCACTGGACACCTGTAGGTGCTCAGGGTTGGCCTGGGTATGGTGAGGACCCTGGGCCTGCACACAGGCAGTGGTTTTCAAACTTGGTGAAGAGGTGGCTTCCCCCAATTCTATTCTCTTCATAAACAGATCTCACCCAGAACTTCAGTGTATTAAATTAATGAAACTAAGCCAGGTGTGCTGCTGCATGCCTATTATCCCAGCACTCAGGAGGCTGAGGCAGGAGGATCGGGAGTTTGTGGCCAACTTAGGCTACATAGTGAGCTCAAGGCCAACTTGAACTATATAGCAAGACACTGTCTCAAAAATAAACAAATAAACACACAAATGAACAAACAACCAAAGCTTGTATTCTGATGTGGTAGAAGGAGTAGACTTGGGTTTAATCCCAGCTTTGCTGCTGCTAATTGTGTAGAATCTGTAAAATTGAAAATAGTGCCAATAGAGGGTTACTGTTTGCATCAAATCAAATCAAATTGTGTGTGTGTGTGTGTGTGTGTGTGTGTGTGTGTGTGTGTATGTGTGTTTCCTCAGCATTGTGCCTGGCTGGATAAATGGTGGCAGTTACTGCTACGTGCTCAGATCCACTGTAAATGCTACATACAAGCCAGACCATCTGTTCCCACACAGGAAAGGGGACCCTACCAAGCAGGGAGTTTGTGCAGAGAAGCGGTAGTTGAGGTTTCTGACGGGGAATGTCATGCCCTCAGACCTTTAGGGCAAAGGGGGAAAGGATGCAGTGTTACAGGGCTTTCTGCATTTGTGCCTCTGACTGCCTTTATTTATCACCCTCAAGAGTGGAAAACACTAACAGGATGTCCTTTGAGCTCTCTCACTTTGATTGGGCTGCTTTGCCTGCCCCTTAGCTGGAATTCTACAGCGTGAGTCTTGGCACTGCTCTGGGCCTGGGTCTGTTTCCCTTGCATGTGACTCTTTGGTGGCACAAATAAGCAGATAAAGAGGAAAAGGTTAACCATTTGAGACAGAGGAGCTGTTCGTGGCTCACTGGTGTTTGCTTCATGGGCTGCGGTGGTGATGTTTTGACTTTATCACTGCCCTCTTGCTTGGTAGTTTTCTTATATCCCAGCATGACTAACCAGTCTTTTTACCTTAAAGATTTGGACATCTTGCTGAATTGATTCAATTCTCTGTTATATTACCCCTGCCTCGGCTTCTTACAAAGCGTAGCCTCTTTAGAGAATGTGTCCAGTTTTCCCACATCATTTCAGTGGCTTCTTCATGGCCATATCGCTCAGAGTTGCCACCTTCAGAAGGTCTTTGGGAGCCCACATGAAGACCCCCGGGGATAGAGTGGCCAGGGTTTAGATACCCTATGAACAAAGGATCTCCTGTTCCCAGGCTCCTTTGCTTCAGAGGTCCCCCTCTGCTTTTCAGGTTCGCTTCCCTAACAAGGGGTGGGAGCAGAAGGAGAAAGATGACGGATCTGTGAGCGGTGTAGAAATGTCTGCAACTAACAAGTCCTGCAATAAGCACATCCCTCTCAAACCTGAAGTAACATCTGTGCTGGGTTTGCTCCAAGTGGACAGGTCACCTTGCCCTTCCTGTCTCAGGAGGGAGAGCAGGGAGGATAGGACCAGAGGGCATGCAGGTGTTTGAGGCTGCGCAGCACTTGGGGCGTGATTGCCCCTCAGATGCGGGGTGGAAGCCACTGCAGAGGAGCCTGGGGCACTGCTGCTTCACTTTCCACCCTGCCTTCCTGGCCAGGAAGCACCTCACTCTCAAGCTGGTCAAGGAAGCATGACCTCAGTGAAGTTTCCAGAGCCATGGAAATCTGGCTTCTAACCATACCTGGGCCTCAGTGTCCTTGTTCAAAAAGGAAAACTTGAGGCTGCATCTCTGGGTCCCCTAAGACAGGACGAGAACTGTTTTGTGCCCTCTTAGTTTAAGAACTTCAGGTTAGGGGCATGGGCAGAGATTTGGTTAAGGTCACAAAGGTCAGGTAGACAGCTACCAACACGACTCCTGACTGTGGGATCTGGTTGGTGAGCACGCTGCTTATTCATGGCGCCTCTCTGCCTTTGGGATGTGAGACTTGTCTCCATTCATAGCCGCCCAGTCTCCCATGAGTGTAGATGCAAATGTGAACAACTCTGTGGGTCATTGGGGGAGTCTGATGCCTCTCCCTGGCCTGCACCAAGAATGTGGCTGGGAAGCCAGTCTCACCTAATGAAGTGCAGTATGCATTTCTGAAAATTGGCTCCAGCTGTATTTGATTCAGTTCACCCTGTTTGTGGTTCAGCTTCATCTTTATTTAAAACCTGCTATGACCAAACCAGTGTGTTAGCTCTTTTAGGGGCAAATACAACAACGATCAGCCAAGACCCAACCTGCCCTCTCAGCTTGTGATCCAGCTGGGGCCACCCCAGTGACTATAATAAAGAATGCTGTCCACCTGCAGGCTCCCACTGGCAGGCTCTTTCTGCTGGGTGTAGTGGCACATTCAGGAGCAAAGCAGGAGGATCACTGTGAGTTTGAGGCCAGCCTGGGCAACACAGTGAGACCCTGTCTCAAACAACAATGAGGGTTCCATGGAGGTCGACTTGGCTTGGGGACTAGTGGCCACAACCTGTGTTGCTGGAAACCCCTTATCTTGAATTCAGGGCTCATTCCAGGCCTTTTCTGTCATATAGAGAACTAGAAATCTTACCTTCCAGTTTGCTTTGCTTAAATGAAATTGAGGTCTTTCCTTGACAAGCCCCAAGCTCTAGAGCTAATATAGGAAGCTGCAGGAGGCATGATCAGTACATTTTGTTTTTTTTTTTTTTTTTGTGTGTGTGTGTGTGTGTGTGAGAGAGAGAGAGAGAGGGAGAGAGAGAGAGGGAGATTTACTAAGAGACCTCTTAAATTCCATCCCTGCAATGAAATGTGCTCATGGCTTCTTAGCAAAGAGAAACTTCATGGGTTTTTTAGGTCTTGGCGTTTTTACCCAGAGATGACCACGGATCAAAGAGGCTGCGTGACCATCAGCACATGACGTGGTAAAATGAGACCAAAGCTAGTGAGCTGAAGGCCTCACTGACTGAAGAATGTTTTTTCCTTCTAGTGGGGTTTTCGGGTTCCTGCTCATGCTCAGCACAGTGAAGCTGCAGAATCTCATGGCCCCTGGGCAGTGTGCAGCCTTGACCTTCTTGGCCAAGGTAAGAGAGGGGTGGCAGGTGAGAGCTCTAGCTTGGTGGGGTCTTCAGACCTGGGGACATGTGATTGGATCCTCAGGAAGCCATTTCTTGTCACCTGCCCTCAGCCTGAATCTTTGCCTAACTCGGGCAACAGTTTCTGAGGCCTTCTCTCTGTTTACTCACCATGGCATATGTCATCACTGTCACACTGCCTGAGGGTGACCATGGCTAGGGCCCTTAACTTCCGTGAGCCTTAACTGTCTAAAAATGAGAGGTTTTGTCTTCTCTGGCCCTATGGACTGGGCTCCCAGGAACCAGGGAAGTTTTTTCTTCCATGGGCAGTGAGTATGTCCAGTGCTCAGCTGACTCAGACAGGAGGACTCAGCCTGGCCAGGGTAATAGAGGAAAGAAAAATCACAGAAATGTCCAGGTTGGGAGGCTTGGATGAAGCATTCAGAAGAGGGGACTGGTACACAAATGGCACTGTGTATCTGAATGGCCACAGCTGAGTGTAATAAAAGAAAGAGCTGGAAGAACTGAGAAGAGACAGAAGCAGACCAGAGGTGATGGAAGGCACCATTGGAATGGAAATGCCTGGGACTCTCTTCTCTTACTGGTGGGCTTCTCTTCCCTGACATCTATACCTTGAGTCATCTTGAAGGACTCAAGGTCCAGAGACTGAGGTATTGCTTCTGAGGCCTGAGATTTCCCAGTCATTTTCATCTAATGAAATAATCATTGAAACTTGTGTGCCATCACTTTTGAGGGGAGATGGGGGAGGAAAAAAACCACACGTTTTTCTTTGGAAATAAAATTCAACAGTGATATTTTCACCTACCTGGTGTTTTAATAGAATTAATAATTCTGGTTCCAGCAGATTGTAAAAATGCTTTAGATGTTGAGTTTCAGTGTGAGAGAGTGAGGAGACTGACAAAGTCTCTTCTCCAAAATCAACTAGAAATTTGGTAAAAGACTCCATAGCAGCATCATTTTCACACTCTGAAAATTGCTTGCAGCAAGAAGCAACTGTTCATGGAAACTACTGAGCTTTGGGTGGGCACAGGGTTTGTGGTGTGCTTGCTCCCCATGGCTCCGTGCCCTCCTCCCCTCTGCCTCTTCCCGTGATGGTCCAGCCACAGCAGGGTGGGCTGTGGAACCCACAGCTTTGGCGCTGCTTCCAGCAGGGGCTCCTTTGGAGGATCATTAGTTCAAGGGGTCAACTCAATGGTCAGTGGACGGAGAGGCCAGTAGTTCCACTAGGTTGAGTGTAGAGTCTTCTTTAGATTAAGCAATGGGCCAGTGGTCTTGCTGGTGCCTTAAAAAGTGGTTCTCCAAAGTGGTGAGAGAGCCGCCAAAGGCTTCGTAGCTCTCCGCATTTCCCAGGTTGAACTTGGTCTGTGGGCATGTGCTACAGAAAAGGAGTGTCTCAGACTGGTGGCTCCTCTGTGTATGCTCACAGGTGATGGTGAGGGGTCAGCAGAGAGCAAAGGCCAGGGCAGACATGAAAACAGCCTAGAGGGCCAGGGATTTAGCTCAGTGGCATAAGCACCTGCCTGGCAAGAGCGAGGTCATGAGTTTGATCCCTGGTACCAAAAAAAAAAAAAAAAAAGCAAAATAAACCCCCAACCAGCCTGCTCACACTCAGAATCAAACGCAGAGAGAAGGCTTTCTGGCTCAAGATGTTTGAGCAAAAAGCCAGACTAGTCTTTGCCAGAATACGAAGCTATTCAGACACAGAGATGACTCCTAGAATTCAGACTTAGAAATAAAAACAAGGTAAAAAATGAATCAGCAGCTATACCTTACATGGAAAACAGATTTCACAGACTTAGTTTTAGGAAAATTACTAAGTGAGCAAAACAACAATAACAGCTTTTGTGAAAACATCAGAATCCAGTTGCTGCCATATACTGTTTTAAATGCCCAGTATTCAATAAAAAAATTAGAGACATTTAGAGAAGCAAGTGTGGTCTGCATACAGGAAAAGAACAATCCATAGAAAGCAGCTGCAGATGCTGATTTAGGCAAAAAGCACTGCAAAGTACTCACTTAAATATGGTTAGAGTTTGGAAGGCAGCCACATTTAAAGAGTTAAACGCTCAATGAATATAGAATTCAATGAAAAGGTAGAAATTACGTTTAAAAGTAAGAACCAAATATAAAGCAAATGGAAATTCTGTATTCTAAAAATATAACAACTGAATGAAAATCCCCTAGAGAGACTCAACAAGAGATCTGAGATGACAGAAGAAAGAGTAAATGAGCCAGAAGGTATGGAAAAATAAATTATTTAATCTAAGTAGGATTTTTTAAAAATTGAAAAAATCTGAACAGAGTCTCAGAGACCTGTAGATGATGAAGGATAGCAATGTATGTGGAATGACAATTCTAGAAGAGCAGGCAGGGTATTGTAGTCAGGGTTCACAAGGGAAAAGGTTTAATGCAGGATACATAATTTATAGGATTATTTTATAATATTCACCCAAAGAGTCAAATGCAAAAAAGAGTGTGGGAGATCTGTCCACGCACTAGAGACCCAAAGAATCCAGCTGAGGACCTAGATCCCACAGCAATGTCCTGCACGAGTCCAGCTGAAGATCTAGAGCCCATGGCAGTATTCTCCACGACTCCGGCTGGAGGCCTAGAGCCATGACAATGTCTCATGCAAGTCTGTATCAAAGATCTGCACTGGAAAGCCAGTGGTCAGTGACAGAAGCTAGAAAGTCTGCACCAGTGGGATGAAGGATCTGTGCCAGCAGGCTGAAGAATCTGCACTGGAGCTAGGAAGTGATGCTCAGAGTAAGGACCAGAGCTCTCCTCCAAAAACCACACCTATTCTCTGTGAGAGTGAGGACCTGAGCTCCTCTGATGATAACAGCTGAGTTCACAGCAGGAGGATCAACAGCACATCCTCTTCTCCTGCAGTCCTGCTTTTGTGTTGTTGGCAGCAATCCTTACATGGCCCTTCCACATCCAAAGCCATGCTGATTCAGTTCAGCTAAGTCTGCCACACAAGGATAGAAAAACTCCGAGGGCCAGGGATCTAGCTCAATGGCATAAGCACCTGCCTGGCAAGTGTGAGGTTGGGAGTTTGATCCCCAGTACAAAAAAAAAGGGGGGGGGTAGGGAGGTAGCTCAGTGGCACAAGTGCTTGCCTGGCAAGCATGAGATCATGAGTTCAATCCCTGGTTCCCTAATGAAACTTACCTGGACAATTTCTAGTAAAACTGCTAAAAAACAAAGAGAAAATCTTAAAAGCACCCCCAAAAAAACCCAAAAAAGAAAGAAATTAAAAAAAGATTTTGCATATGTGAGGGAAAAACAATGCAATTAATGACATTCTCATCAAAGACAGTGTCAGCCAGGAGGCAGTATGATGACAGATGTTGAAAGGAAAACATCTCTCCCAAGAATTTGATATACAAGCTGGGCATGGTGGCATAGGCATATGCCTATAATCCCAGCCTTTGGGAGGCTGAGGCCAAAGAATTGCTATGTGTTTGAGGTCAACTTGTGCTACATAAGCAAGTTCAAGGCCAGCCTGTACTACATGAGACTCAAACTTAAAAATAGAATTTGATATATAGCAAAACTGACTTCAGATGTGAACGATAAATACATTTCCAGATCTATAATGACAGAAAGATGCTAGTAGCTATATCAACAATTACATTAAATGTGAATGGATGAAATACTCTATTCAGAAGACAGAAATGATCAGATTGGATTTTAAAAAGCAAGACTTGACTATATGCTGTCTGTAAGAGATATACTTTAAGTGCCAAGATGCAAGCAGATTGAAAGTGAGGATGTGGGAAAACTGGAACCTTTATGCATTGCTGGGGGATGTGCATGTACCCATTTTGGAAAACAGTTTGGTACTTTCTTAAAAGGTTAAGCATACCAACTATAACCAGGCAAATCTATTCTTATGAATCTATTTGAGAGAAATGAAAATGTAAAAGCCTTATGCATGGATATTTATGGCAGCATTATTCATAACAACCCCAAGCTGGAAACTATTCAATGTGAATTTATTAGCAAGTGGTTACGCAAGATACATATATCCATACACTGGGGTAAGGAATGAGGTATTCATACATTTCTATGACAGGTAAATCCCTGACAGAAGCTAGTTACATTACACGGAGCATTCCATTTTATAGGCAATGTCCAGAAAAGGCAAATTTGTAGAGACAAAATGTATCCTGATGGTTTCTTGGAAAAGAAATTGACTACTGATAGGCTTCAGGGAGTTTTTCTGGGTGGGTAATGGAAATGTTCTAAAACTGGATTGTGGTGGTGATGGTTGCCTAGTCATTTAAATTAATTAAACTTGACCATTAAAATAATTGTACTTTAGAGACTGCAGATGTAGCTCAAAGGTAGCATGCTTGCTTCCCATGCACAAGGCTCTGCATTCAGTCCCTGGCATCTCAAGAAAAAAAAAGCCACTGCTTTTGCATTTACAATTGGTAACTTTTATGGCATGGAAAATGGCATACGGTATCCATAGACACTGTAAAATACGAGTGCTCTAAGCATTGAGATTACATTTTGTCCTTTACAATTTGGTGACATTTTCTGCTTTTCACTACCAGTACCATGAGTATCCTTTTTATTTTCCCCCTGAATGTTAAAGGGGGTTTATCAGATGCAGTATTTTAATTGCCTGGTATGGTTTAACGCTAATTGTTCTTAAATGTGGATGGTTGGATTAGATGAGCTAGAAAGGTCTTTTCAGCCCTTAACATCTCTTTCGGAAATCAAGCAACCTCTCTTCTTTTTTCTTTTCTGTTGACAGCTCCGTGATGCTGGATGGTAGTATATGTGTCACCTACACATGGAAATGTTCCAATACTTGAAATACAACATGATTGCTTTTGGTTGTTCAGTGTTTCCTATGATGTTGCTGTGACGAGGGGTGCCAGCATAGTCAGGAGCGTGATTCAGGAGAATGTTCCCCTGGGATCTGTGAAAGAGTCAAAGATACAGAGCAGGGAGGACTTTTGCAGGGCTGA